TCATGAACGATCGGTTTGAGGCCCTTCATGTTCCCGGAGCGAACAGATGCCATTGGGCTACACTAGCACGCGACAGGGACAAATGGAGACGTTACTGGCGCCCGCTCGAGCAAATCGACGACTAATGGGAAGTTAAGTGATTAAGTGATTTGGAATAAGAATAGATGAAGTCAACCCGCGTCCAGAAGTAGATCCAGTTCTACAAACACAGAAAACTGACTTTCAACAGGTGTTCCGAGGTAATGAAAAAAGAAAAAGATAGTATTTTAAATAAGTGGTGCCAGAACAACTGTCATTTCATTTCATTTCATTTCATCATCCTGTTAATCGTCGATTGCCTCGAGCAGGCCCCAGTAATGTCTCTTTCATCCTAGCCCTGAGATTATATTCACGGCTCTTTAGGAGAATGAGACCCATCATTGTTACTGGTATTTGGCATATTTGGTAGGCCACGGGGAGTTTGCCAGACTCTGCCCTGTGGGCAGGCTACATTAGATAGCCTGCAAGTTTGTCCAAAGTAGGAATGAGACAATAAGATGTCATAAAGAAAAGTTCTGATAAGATGTCGTGCGGTTCCGGGAACTGGATTTTATAGTCTCTGAGTCTTGGCCGCTGATGGGATTACACGGCGCCAGGGGGCCAGGTGGTGGGTGTGACCCCCGCCTACTGGAATTTGGAGGATCTGGGTGGAAGATGCTCGACTCCAATTCGAGTAGGCTTGGAGGTCTCGGCCCCAGAACCCGCGTGGCTTTGTCCCTCTGCCAGTACCTTCATGTGTGCGGAGAGTGGTCTCAGCATGGTGGTGGCTGGTCCTGGAGGTCTTCGGCTGCCGGAGCCCTGGTCGGGCGGGGAGGAAAGCTCGACCCGCTCCCCTCCAAGGGGTCCCGGCGAGGGACACCCAGGCGCGGGGGCAAAGACTGCACTGTTCTCGTCCGGGATCTGGATTTTATAGTCTTTGAGTCTTGGCCGCTGATGGGATTACACGGCGCCAGGGGGCCAGGTGGTGGGTGTGACCCCCGCCTACTGGAATTTGGAGGATCTGGGTGGAAGATGCTCGACTCCAATTCGAGTAGGCTTGGAGGTCTCAGCCCCGGAACCCGCGTGGCTTTGTCATTTACATGTAAAAATATGAACCCAGACTTAATTCTCATCATACATTAAAAATCAACTCAATGGCTCCAGAAATAAGCTTCATAAGATCCATAATTACATTCCATAATAGTTATCTTCAGTGCAACATTACTTTCAGCTGAGGGGAAGAAAGGACTCTAAGGTTAAAAGTCAATGTAAGGTCAAAGGTCAATGTTAGAACAAAACCTTAAGACATCTAGAATAAAAAAAAAACACTGTAATTTCAAAATAACATTTTAAGTGGCATTTTTTAAAAAAGCATGACCCATGAGACAAAAACTTGGACATCATCAAAACTTAAACCTTGTGCTCTTCAAAAGGCACTAAGAAATGAAAAGGAAAATCACAGAACAGAGAGAAATGGTTTCAGAACAAATTTCTGATAAAATTGCTATAATCAAAATATAAGTTGAGGGCCAGAGGATAGTACAGTGGTTAGAGCGTTTGCCTGGCACACGGCTGACCTGGGTTGGATCCCCAGCATCCCATATGGTCTCCCCAGCACCTCCAGGAGTAATTCCTGAGTGCAGAGCCAGGAGTAACCCCTGAGCATCGCTGGGTGTGACCCATAAAGAAAAAGTATATATATATAATATATATAACATATATATATATATCCTGCACGGGCAGAGCCTGGCAAGCTCCCCATGGCATATTTGATATGCCAAAAACAGTAACTATATATAACAGGTCTCATTCCCCTGACCCTGAAAGAGCCTCCAATCATTGGGAAAGACAAGTAAGGAAGAGGCTGCTAAAATCTCAGGGCCGGGATGAATAGAGATGTTACTGGCACCTGCTCGAGTAAACTGATGAACAACGGGATGAACAGTGATATAGTAATATATATATGTATATATATATATATACATACACACATACATATATATACAAGCTGATAATTCACATATAAGAAAACAACTCAATTATAAATGGTTGAAAGATATGAGCAAAGATCTCGACAATAAACATTTCAAATGGCACACACACATGATGTACATTATCACTAGTTATCACAGAAAGTAAGTTCAAACTATCTCCGCATTCACTTTACTCTGGAGGTGTACCAAGCGATAGTCAGGGCTTCCTCCTGGCTCTGTGCTCAGTGATCACTCTGGCAGTGCTCAGGGAACCATATGGAACGGAGGTAATTTGAACACAGGTTGGCCACATGTAAGGCAAGCACCCTCCTATCACTCTGGCCCTTGACAGATACACTTTAAAAGAACGGCGATACCGGCGTTGGTGAGGCAGTGGGACAGGACCCCTCACACATATTGCTCATGAAATGTAGCTTCAGAAAACAATTTTGCAGTTTCATATCAAGTTAAGCAGAAATGTACCATATAACCCAACAGCAGTTTTTCTCTCAGGAATTTACCAGAGAGAAATTAAAACGTACATTCACATGGAGGTTTATATATAAATATGTATCGTGACATTTTTCATAATAGCAAAAAAAGAAAGGCAGCAATCCAAATGTATATCAAAGTCGAATAGATGAGAGGCCAGAGAGCTAGCCCAAAGAGCTGAGTCATGCATGCAGTCTGTACGCCAAGATCAGACATGGACCCCTGGAACCACATAGCCCCTTGAGCAAAGAACCTGGATTAGCCCCTGCACTCTTCTGGGCGTAGCCCCCGAATAAAATAATCTGAACAGAAGAGCTGACTAGGTGAATCCATGCAACTGAATACTAGTCCATCATGAAATAACAAATGAATTGCTCTCAAAAGCATTGTTCTAAGCCACCATGCACTGATGTTACTATTCAAAAGAACATCATGGGGGTAGGGAAACAGCTCAAAGGGCTAGTGCGCATGCTTTGCAAGCAGAAGGCCCAAGTTCAATAACTGGACATCACAGGGTCCCCCAAGTACTGCCACGTGTGGCCCAATCAACCACTTCCCCCCAACAAGATCCACAGCCAGGCTAGGGATACAGCTCCAAGGACTTGTGCTTATGCCTCGTGTGCAGGAGGCCCAAGGTCAACCCACAGAATCTCACAAGCACTGCTTGGAGCCACATCCAAGCAGAGCACTGTGAGAAGCCCCTGAACACCACCAGGTGGGGCCAGAAAGCCCTTTTTAAAAGGATCCACAAAAGTGACAGGGAGAACTGGGTTCTGGGCATCCCTCAGTCAAACAGCCGAATTCGTCTTCAATTGCAGCTGAAGCAGAAGCCCTAGCCTTTGCAACTGACACCAGCTCGAACAGTGACAGATAAAGTCAGACTGGTACACCAGCGTAACTCTTGGTGCAGTTTAAAAAGTCACAAGGAACGCAAGACGAATTTGCAAGTCACCTCACATTTCAAGGACAAAGCTACTTTCCACTTAAGCGAGAAATGAACCATCATAATGTATATATGTGGGATGCTGCCCTTATAATAGAACATGCAAGAGATTCACCCAAAATTCAAGCATTTTTAATTTATTGGGTGCATATATTAGGACTTGTTTCTCCCTGCCAGAATGATGACATTCCACAAGGACAGAGGTTTTCATTTTCTCTATCCACCTCTAGTCCTAGCGTCTAGAATAACGCCAAGCATACATATAGTAATCGCTCAGTTTGTCAACTAACAAAGTATGCCCACATGAAATAATCTCACCTTACACACACACACAAACATGCACATATTTATGTGTGTCTATAGACAGATAGAAAGATTTGTGCATATATATATATATATATATATATATATATATATATGGTAAAGGCCATTCTTAATAGAGCTTGGGAAGCCCAGGGCCACTCCCTGTCAAGTTCAGCTGGTGGAGAGGGCCTATGATGCTCAGGTCAGCAGTGTCCAGGAATCGCCAGGGCTGCCTCTGGCAGTGCTCAGGGGGATAGGCAGCACCCAGGACTGAACTCGGGGCCTTGAGCATGGCAGACGTATACTCTACCACTTGAACCAGCTCTAAGCACATGTTCTTTAACTGTACAAGTTAATAATGTTCTCATCTCTCCGTGAATTTATTATTTAAAAACCAATTCAGGGAGGGGAGATTCAAGTGGGGACAGAGCCCAACGGACCACAGCAGAGCAATACTGGTACCACCAGAGTATAGCAACATGCTGAAGAGTGTGAAATTGTGCCTCTTAAACACACAATCTTATAAATGAACCTGACCTCAAACAAATTTTATATAGGAAATAACACCAATTCAAACATAAAATTCCAAATAAGGCAATTGTCTTCTTTTATATATTCTAACATCTCCCAAATTTCCTACAATGCATGTGAGTGCTTTCAGAACCAATAATGCACCTTTAGAAATGTTTCCGTTTTATGCAAGTCTCTATCAATTAGTGATAGCATGTCTTACTTTTTCTTTGCATTATCTCCTCAGATCTATTCCTCTGAATATGCTGGTTACCCCTTTAGAAAAAATTTCCACACATTATCACATGCATCTCATTATGTCTTAACCCAACCTCCCAAATAAGAATCCTTTAGAGGGCCCAAAGAGATGCTTAGTGGGCTGGGTACATGCTTATTACGCAGGAGGCCTGGGATCAATCCCAGATGCTGCATGATCACCCTGCACTACCAGGATGACCTCAGAGCAGAGTTGAGAGTAGTACCCTAGCACGGTCATATATATCCCCAAGGCAAGCATCTTTCATAACACTCTTAACCTCAATCTTTTGAACCACGCTCACTCCTAGCAAAGCTCTCGACTTCTTTGTGACAGGCAACAGCCAACAGGTCTTTGTACTTCCCACTGTTGTAGAGTATTCAATAAATGATTCATTTGTGAACTTGGATTTCAGTGAGACTAGAAACTAAGAAAGCAAACATAAATGTGAAGCAACAAAAATAAGAAATATGCTTACATATTATACTACATGCAGGAGACCTACCAGTAGTGTCTTTCCTTGAGAAATGAAGAAATGACCCGATATAACGATAGTGAGAACAAGATACCCAGACTCTTCACTGGAATCAAAGACCTGGAAAATGAGAAAAAAATATGTTTAAGACAACATGATCCTGCAATACTAATAAACGTAGAACACTGATAACCAGCTATTTTCTCGCATTGATCATTCTACCATGAAAGATGCCTTTTTCACTTTATGTTCAACTGTTCCCTTAGAGTCGTCCATTTCTCTTCTCATAGGGACCAGGAGCTAAACTTTTGAAAATAGAAATAAAACAAATTTTTTTGAAACAGAAAAAAATAGCAGTATGTGGAGCCTGAGTCAAACACGTTCTCAGTCATAAATTTTAATCAATCATTAAGCCAATTATCAAGTCTTATATTCAATAAATGGGGAAAATGCCTTACAGGGCATTTCCTTCACGGTATCTTCCTTCAGCCATGTAATCCATTCTTTGTATCTCCATAAAACCTAGTGCTTTGTTTTAGATTAGCTTTAAGTTATCTATGAGATTCTTAAAATATAGTGCAAAAATTCTTGCTGGAGTCTAATAATCTCTCATACCTATAGTAGAAGCTGTAATCCCATTAATTTTCTGATAGGGTAGTCCCACTGAACAGTGTTTATTTGGGAGTCACACTGGTGGTACTCAGGAATGAATCCTGGTAGTGCTACGGGGCCCATGTGTGGTACCGAGGACTTGAACAAAGATCCTTGCTTAGCCTAATCCTCAGCTATCTTTCCAATCTCAAACAGTTTGATCTTAGTCAGACCTTTTAAAACTTGACCACTTGTTTATAAATCACATGTTTGCTTTCCTAATCTCCATATAGGTGTAAGAACTTGGACTTGTCCACGCTATATTTTATTTTATCATGTTTGGTCTAGATTTGTGGTATGAAGTTCAGGCAATTAAATTAAAATGTCAGGGAGGAAATGACAGATACATAAGAACAGCATTTAGGTCTCAAGTTGATGCTGAAGGTGGCTTTAATGTCGTTAGCACACATTGTAAATATTCTTGTATAAATAAAATGAAATTTAACTCTCCTCATAGTCAAAGTACAAAGTAATTAACACATAACTCAAGTGTATTTTTTATAAGATTACTGTATTCTACTGAGAAATAATGTTCTGTGTTATATTACCATGGGGGGGGGGGGTTGGAGTTCCAATGCTATATCTGAACTCTATTTCCTGAGGAGTTTCTGCTCATTATTTAAAAGTTTTAAACTTAAAGGAGGGTATGCTAAGTTCACACTAGTTTTCTTCAGTGATTGTGATTCCACCTCCTATCCAGTATTAGAAATTCAGTATTTTCATGAGGCTCTCCCCACAGAGAGTAAATGGATTCTTTTGTATGGTTCATGACCATTTAAAATCACAAAAGTAGGGGCCAGAGAGATAGTACAAGGGATATACCACTTGCCTTGTGTTTGGTGACCCTATTTCAATAGTGGGTACCACCTATGGTCCATGAGCCCCACCAGGAGTGAACCCTGAGCACAGAGCCAAGAGTAAGTCTTGGGCATCACCAGTGTGGCCCCAATATAATCCCTGCACAGGGGATAGGAGGGGACACAAAAGAACTCAAACACTGCCTTCAGGATTAGAATCTGTCCAGCAAATACTACAGGAGGTTACTTTTTAGCATGGTGATTGAAATCTGTTTCAGGAGGCTGGGGTGATAGAACAACGGGTAGGGCATTTGCCTTGCACATGGTCGACAAGGGTTTGATTCCCAGCATCCCATGCAGTCGCCCAAGCACTGCCAGGAGTGATTCCTTAGTGCATGAACCAGGAGTAACCCCTGTGCAGCGCAAGGTGTGACCCAAAAAGAAAAAAAAAGTGTCATGATATCTGTTTCAGAAGTAAACATATATCTAAGAAATATCTATAAGAATATCTCAGTGAAAGATGAAGGAACAAATGTGTAATCCCCACCGATAGTAAGACAGTAAACATTCCAATCTTTGGGAAGGCACCCGAGTACAGTCTCTCAATCACTGTGAGCTTTCTCCTCCTCCTAAGGAAACTTCCATCCAGACACCTAACAGCAGTATAATTATTCTTGCATGTGTGAAATGATTCTTACCCACATAATAGCATATACCTCAGCTCAGTCACTTTTGTAAATGCAGAATATCACTATGACCATACGACAACTTGTTTTTCATTTTGTTGATTAATTTTGTTTCCCTAAATTTACATCTGCTACAAAAGATGAAGATTTTTTGTGGGGGGCGGTGGTGAGGGGTCCTGTTCTCAAGAAGTGCTCAGGAGATCTGGGGTCACTCCCAGTGATACTGTGTAGGCCAGCTCTTCTGTTCTTAGAGTGATGAACATTCTTATATGTCTCCTGTTGGGAAGAAACATTCATATGCCAAGTCATCCCAAATAATTTTATGCTTTTTCAAGTTTCGGCCGATGACATCCAGGAGAGTCTCAATTACGTTGTTTTCCTGCTCTCCAGACTGTTCCATCCACATCTGCACTGAGTAACCCAGGAGGGATCCCAAAGCTAAACGGGATTAAACTACATTCCTAGCCATACATTCACGGATCGATTTGTTCAACATTTAAGTGGGGTCAACTGCTTATCACCAGGAGGAGAAGTACAAAGACTTCTGTCCACTGCGGCCTACTGCTCTGGAGTCACCAGGGAAAACACAACACTGGACAGAACAATGCTTTAGCTAAAGGAGAGACACAGAGACCTGCTCTCAGAAGCCATAGTGTCCCTTTGGCCCCTGGTCTCCCGGCAGTAACAGGCAGTTGGTCCATACTCACCTCTTCCTTCCTGCCAGAGGCCCTGTCCTTTTCCCAGAAGGGACTGGTGGCAAAGGGGTTGACCAGTGCTATGATACTTAAGCAGAACTAAGGAGCACAGACAGTGAGACGTCTCTGTCTCTTGTAAACAAGTGTTCCAGGTCCACGTCCCAGTCTTCATTGCTGTTTGTTTATCTGTATTGTTGGCAGGGCTTGGGGGTCTGTATAGGGCGCCGGGGACTGAAGCCAGGTCAGCTGTGTGCAAGGCGAATGCCCTACCCGCTGCCCTACTGCTCAGGTCCCCCACAGCCCACTCTTTCAGGAGGGATTAAGGAGGTGGCCTTTCCCAGGACAAAACATTAGAGTCATTTGACTTCCACCATTTTCTCACCTCAGAGATCCATCCTTTATTTTCTTAGGCCCAAACCACGGAAACTTGAATCTTCTCCTTTCCTCTAATATCTAATCCATCAGCAAATCAAAAATGTCTACCATCAAAATATTCCCAGTCTACCCTAGAAACCATTGGTCCGACCTTGCTGGCTGGCACCTAACTGACTTTCCCACGAGTTCTTTCTCCCCATGGCAGCTTATTCTCCGTTAAACTACTGAGTTCGATTATGTAATTTCCAGCTCAAAGCCCTGTAGAAGCTTCTGCCTCCAGCTGGCCACCCCTGTATCTAGGCGTCAGTGGGGCTGCTCTCCCCTTGGGACTGTTCTAACCACGCTGGCCTCCTTGCAGTTCCCTGAACCCACTAGGCATGTTCATGATCTAAACGGGAGCTTTCACAACAGCTGTCCTGGCTGGAATTCTCTTCCCCTAGATCCCACATGACTCATCCCTGCCTCTTCTCAGCTCTGCTTAAATGTCATCTTTTCAGGTAAGACCTTTCCTGACCATCCTACACTGCCATCAGCCTCCGTCATCTGCCCCCCCGCTGTGTACCCCTTCACCCTCCCCCGGCCCCCACCACGATCCCCTGAACCAAATGTCTCCTATTCCTAGCACCAGCTTTATTTTTCTCCATAGCTCCTGTTACTTTACATTTTGTGTTACCTATCTACATCAAGCAGAATCTAAGCTATGTGGAGATAAAGATTTTCTATTTGTTTTCGGTCACTGTTGAATATCCAAATGCTTAGAAGAGTTCCTGGCACACAACAGGAACCCACTATTATTTTGTTGAATGAATAAATTAATATAAAATTCCGAATGAAGTCACCAGATTCAAGTACAATATTTACAAAGTAAATAAATGCGTTTAAATAATGTATAAGCAGAGGAACTGCACTGAAAGAAATACTAAAGGAAGTCCTTCAGGTGGAAGGTAAATGATGCCAGATAAAAACTGACATTTCTGCAAAGCAATGAAGAACACTCTGTACAAGAAATAGAAATTACATAAGTACACGGAAATTTCTGTTATTTATACTTCCTTAAAAGATAATTGAGATAATCAATTAATATTTCACACCAAAAAAGAAGTTTTATCCTTGATGAGACAATACATAATAGCAAGATAAAATTAAACCCAATCCCAACGGATGATCATTAAGTGGCAATGGATTTAAACACCTGCCAAAGGGGCTAGAGAGACAATGCAGGGGCTGAGGTACAAACCTTGATGTGTCCAGGCCTACCCACTCCCTGGTACCACTTGGTCCCCTGAGCATCACAGGGAGCAGCCGTGAAGGTCCAAGGCACCGTAGGCCCCTACAGCACGCAGCCTTGGGAACTGTCGGTACAGTGAGCTAAGAAGTGCTGCCAGGGGTCCCAGGCCCCCAGAGTACTGCTGAGGAGCCTCCTACCAAAACCAACTTTCTTAAAACCGAATTTAAAAAGAGAGAGGGATCCGTGGTGGTGGGAAAAAAGAGAAAGAACCATGAGACACTTACAAGGAATGTACTTTATTTTTATTTATTTATTTTTGGCTCTTTTGGGTCACACCCAGCTATGCTCAAGGGTTACTCCTGGCTCTGCACTCAGGAATTACTCCTGGCGCTCAGGGGACCATATGGGATGCTGAGAATTGTACCCAGGTCAGTCTCATGCAAGGCAAACGCCCTACCCGCTGTACTATCACCACTCTAGCCCAGGGAATGTACTTTAAATATGAAAAGGTGAACATTAAAGAAAAGAGACAGACGCACACAAGACAAAAATGAGTGGAAAGAAGGTCAGAGAAGATATAAAAAAAGATTCCTTCATAATGACAAAGTTGAAATTAATCACAAGATTTAACAATCCTGGGGGTCTGAGAGATAGTACAGAGGTGAGGCATCTGCCTCGACAGAACCCA